TTTTCTATTATTTTCAATATCTTTCCCTTTTATTTCAATTCATTAAACCATGCACTAATTTTAATCATTGGGGTTTTTGACATTATTGTTGGTACAATCTCTATAAATATGACAATTATCTTAAACTTCTTTTGGGAATTTTCCCTTTTTGTTTTTCTCAGATTATATATCTTATATATAGTTGTGCAAACTTTTTTTAATATATAATTCGGTAATTTTATAGGTAATTAATTTTGGAAAACAAATATTGATTTCAGTGACTATTCACCTTGTTGTTCGATTTTGGGGTGTTTCTTGAATTTTGTTTTATTAATAGTTGTACTCATTTATTTCTTCAACAGGTTAATTTTAAAATATTTTACGTTTAACTCATGCTATACTTCAAATTTTTCAATTGATTATACGTGAAAAATATAATTAATTCTGAGACACTTAAAATACACGTGAAAACAAATAACATAATACAAGTTTTTTAAATTTATTCAATCACACAAGTTTTTTACATATTAATTAACATTATTGTAACTTTTAAAATTTCCATTTCAATCTTCCCAATTTTAGAAAATAATTATTTTAGTCTTTACCTGTATTTAGTATTTAACAAATAATTAATGAGGTAGTTTTAAGCATGTGTATTATTAGTGATCATATGATCAAACCACGGAAGGGAGGCCATCAATAAGTGAAATGTAAGATGGCGAAATATTATAGCAAAAAAGTGTTTCTTTTTTTTTTCAGTTCAAAGATTAAAATAGACATTTTAAAAATTTAGAAACTAAAATAAAATAAATAAGTCTAGAGTGACCAAAAGATCGATGGTTCAAATACTCACCCACACATTGATATGACCTTTCACAGTAAAATTATCTCAATAACTAAGAAATTATACTTCAAGAATCTCACTTATTTCTTGATTGTTCGTACACTACCAGATCTTACGCTTAAAATTTCGTGACTGTTGGGTGAGACACGAATGTTATTGCTGGTCTGGAGAATATATGATTTTTGGTTGTCGTCTACCTCCAGAATAGATTTCCTTCAATTCTCTGAACAATCATAATTTGGCATAGACAAACTCCAAAAAGAAAAGAAAAAACTAAATTATTCCATATTTGTGAATTATAAATTTAGGTAGTAAAAAAATTTGAGGTGGGCGGTAGTGACTGGAGAGCGTTGGCGTGAATGGCGGAATTCTCTCTTTCAAAGTTGAGCAAAATGCGGTGTTCTGGCTTTTGTGGGGCCTAAGTGAAAGTAGAAATAAATAAATATATGAATCCTGAAGAAGCAGTCAAAAAATTAAAGCTATGGTCACTGCTTTACATTAAATTTGTGGTAGAATAAGTTTTGTATTCGCACCATTATTCTACATTGTCACGTGCTTCCTTCTCAAAATAAATTCCACTACAACTACACAATTTAATCAATTATTCATACTTACTATTATTATTATTCACTCATAAGTCACAACTCAAGTCACACACCCCCATTAATTTCCCCAAACTATATTCATCACAATTACATCACAATTCCACATCTTTATTATATACATTGTGTCAATCACAACTTTAATAGATGTAACTTGTTGAAATTTAGTTTGATTGAATAGTTATTAGGCGTTACAGATTAAATTTATGATTTACTAGATCACACACTACACGCGTAACTTGATAAATTATGAATATTTATGGTGTGTCATTGCAATTATAGTGCAATATTATCGCACACCAGGACGAGGAGTACAAATATAATTTGATGAAGTATGATTGAAATGAGTACAATAATCTGACAGAATAATAAAGGAAACCTAAATTTGAGCCAACATAAAAAAGAAATTGAACATGGCGTGGAATTGAAGGGACAATTATTGCGTTAGTGTCGAATTTCAGGGGTACCCTCTCCTCTCCTTTCCTTGTTGCCGACACGGCTCATTAGATGAAGACGAAATCCATACGATTCAATTTCATTAAATCTGCAATTGTCTTCTCGTTTTCATTATTCTTTTTATGTAATCATTCCTCCCAATGTTGTCTCAGACCTTCCTTTTCAAAGTATTGAAAAATTAAATTGTTAATATATGTTAATTACTGTTGGACTATGTTTGTTTTGATAGTTAAACGTCACACATCACGTCATGATTATTAGGCCTATCCAAGATCTATTATAGCCTTATCGGAGGTCATGTCGAAGCTCTAACTTAAAGGTCATGGCTATTTCTCTCTTTTGAAGGTTACTTCATCGTTTGTTGTACCAAATTTAAGTTTTGCTGTCTCCGGTCATTTTTCTTGATTAGACATTTAGAGTGATTTTTAATACAGCCCGCAATGTTGTTTGTTTCAAAATTTACCATTATAATATAGTTTTTCATATTTTAGTTCAAATTTTGTCTCAGAAAAAAAAAAAAATATATATATATATATATATATGCATTGTCAACCAATATGAAAACTTTATCGTAAGGGATAGTTTTGATAGGTCGAATGGTAAAGAGGGGCACCTAAAATTTCCCTGCAAATAATGTTTGTGGAAGGAAAATGAGCTCTGGGCTAACATAGAACGTAGGGCCCAGGCTCACAACTAAAATCAGAAAAACCAGAAGGCCCAAAAACACACCGCCCAAACTCTCTGTCCCACGGCCCACATTATTTAGTAAGCCTAGCCGCCGAGAATTGGCTTTTTCTATGTAATTCAATTTTGAATGGCCATATTATTTCATTATTTCGCAAAAGAAAAAAACTTAAATGGTTCATGAATTATGCATAAGATTAGGCTGGATAATTCTCAATTTGGTTCCTATTATTAAAAGAATTTTCAATTAGGTAAATTTGTTCACAAAAAGTTGATATATGGTTGAAATTTGTTTACTTCAAACGGAAACTAATATCCCCACCTGTGCAATAATAAATACCACCACATGTGCGAAAGAAAAGAAATGACATTTCTAGGTTTCACTTTTATCGGCCTTTCTATGTGCTCTTGCAAAGTTTAAAGAGGATTTGTTCTAGGGTTTGCAATTAGCAGCCATTTGGATTTGTCGGGGCTGGTTTGGTACATCTTGGATTTGCCGATTATGTTATGGACCAAGTCCTACTCACAGCCCGTCGAATTGGGGGATTTTTCTCCCTCTCCTTTCTATTTTTTAAAATTTTGACCAAGATTAGAATGGAGCTTCACTTACTCTTCTTTTTCATTTTTTGTCATTTTTTATTTTATTCAATTTTAAAAATATTTATAAAAAAAAACCATAAATTGACCTTCAAATACACCCACTCATAATAAATTGACCAATCATTTCTAGTACCTACTTCTTCCATTCACATTTTCATTTTTTATAGAAAATATATCATTTTATTTAATAGGTCTCGCATTATTTGCTTTAGTGGCGAACAATGTTTTCATATTGTCGTAATATTAGAATTTTTTACTTTTCTTCTCTGTAAACGTGGCATTTATTTTTGCACAGGTAGGATTATAAGTTATGCCACTTCAAATTTTAGTCATGTAAGTACAAGAACCAATTGTATTTTTTAACCTTGTTTCATTAACTAGTTTGGATATGTGGACATATGCTACTAATTGACACATGAAACACATCTCACCAATCATCAAAATTCAACCCACTCATCAATGAAATTTATTTTTTTTCAACTAGTACATCTAGTTGTCTAAATATATTAATAAAATAATAATTTAATGAAACATAGAATGTTTTAATACACTTTTTACGGAATCTTATTATTTGGTTTTGATTCGAGGAAATAAAATTTTATTAATGAGAAAATAAAATGTTACATTGGCTTAAAATAGAATAATTAAAGTTTCCATCCATAAAAATAAGATAGAGAGAATTCACCCACCTAAACATATCTGTAACCAAAAATTTGTGAGTTTGAATCCCCACCTCGACGTTTCTACATATTATATCAAAAACAAAAACAAAAAAGAGTGGAGAGAATATCTAAATATTTTATTTAGTACAAATCTATGAAGATAGAGGATCGAATTCACAACCTTTGATTGGAGATATATGAATATCTAAATATCAAAAAAGTTTTTGATAGTGCACTGTAATGTTTAAAATTTATATTGTCTAAAATAAAATAATTTAAAAATAAAACTATATAAAGTTCAAGGATTAGTAGATGACCAATCATTTATAAATCAAACCATTAACTGGGGAAGTCCCCACTGGCAGCCAATGTGAATGAGATCAGCGACATATCATTTTAGATTGGTCAATCATTTTCAATTTTTTTGGTTCACCCTCAACTTCAAGCAAATTAGATGTTGACCTATATACGTAGACTCCATGAAATGTTCGTTTCTCTTATATATCCCGCATTTGTTAAACTAACAAAATATATCTAATAAATTTTAATCTCAATATGTCTAAATTCGTTTGTGGTTAAGAGTTAAAAGACATTAATAATTCAAAAAAAGATAAAATTTGGCCAAAATTATATTTAGGACCAATTATAAAATTATACGTGTCTTAAATTAATTTTAAAATCGACGAATCAAATTATGTCACGTATCTCTCTTATGGTCGTCTGATAAGACTAGGTACATCAAGACTAGGTCGTCTGATAAAACTCGCCAATAGAGGGGGTCACCTCTCAGACATTCGGAGAGATCTAGAGGAATTAGAGATTCAGAGTCATTAAAGCATCCATGGTCGTCTACAATCGCGAAGAATAGACTTCAAGAATTCTGAATATTCTCTTCGCCAAGCAACCGAACTAAGAACTCCATAGGCTACAAACCGAAGACTTCACAAGTTGAAGACTTTAAAGATTCTTCAATACACTAGAAGCTGAAGACACACACTCATTGATTCGAGAACAAACTCACAAGCCCTTGAATTAAAATTCACCTCTGATAGAATTAATCATATGATCATACATGAGAGATTGTAATACTACATATATTTAATACAAATCAAGTTCATTAATTCGAGTTATTTCTTATCGAATTTCTTACTAATATCTTTTCTTTTATTGTCCAGTTTACAGTTTTAATACTAACATGTTATATATCATTTTTATTTTGAATATTGGAGTTTTTTTTTTATTTATATTTCTTCCCATTATTTGGAAAACTTGTTTTTTCTATGTTCAAATGTGTCAGCATTGACAAATTTTCAATTTTATCAGATTAAACTATAAACTTATATAATAATAAAAAAAGCTAATATCCATTAAGTTTGTTTTTCTATTTTTAGATATCTGTGACATTTTATGAATATTATTGTAGCTATATGTCTTTCATTGGTCATGTTTGATACCTTTAGAAACTATTGATTATGCTTAGCGGAAATTTTGAGTTTTATTTGTGCATAATTTTCTCGATGAAAATTTATTATTATACTTTTATAATTAAAAAAAAAATACAACGTGGAAGGAAAGCTAGGAGTTTGTTGATCTCCCAATATTTTAAGCTTAGAGATTGGAGTCTCCAGTCAATGGGAAGTTTAAATTACATTAATTTGCTCCACAATAAATGCATGCCACCAGAGGCCTTGCCAAGCAGCTCATATTTAAGGCAAAAAGAATTAATGGCCACCTTGAAAAAAAAGCATCTACCCAATTGGTCCAACTCTATCAGAGTAGATGAATCTATTTATATATCTAAGTTATTTTAAAGCTCCAAACTTTGGGAAAAGAAAATTTTCCCCTTAAATTTCGGTGCATCATTGATTTACTCTAGTAGAAGATAAATCTACCAAGCCAGCAATCAATTGCTTCTTAAATTCTCAAAAAAAAATACTATAGTACATTACTGCCCAGTGAATCTTCAAAAGTAGGCATACTTGTTAATTAGATACGGCCAGCAAAGAGCAGAAACGGTAGTATATCAAACAGACTCCAAAAAAACACAATCATTATCAAAGTCATAAATCAAGAACTACTTATTCAGGTGCAATTACTATTTTCTGTTGTTTGTGGCTTTTTGGACGCAATGGGAAGATCAGAGAGAGGCATACCATATACGAACTCTCTGAAATTTTTGCTACGATAATCAAATCTGATTGTGATGTGTGGCCCATAATCCAAGTTTCTTCAATGCAATCGAATCTCAAATTGCTAACCTGTTGAATTGTTATTGAATCTGCAACCCCTCGTGATTATCACTTCTTTTTTTTTTTCTCATATTCAAATATCAGAACCTCCAATTCATATAAAACCAACCCCTTATTCACCGTTTGGTTGTTCTGAGCAACCCAACAATACACGGCACCGCTCTGTTTTCCCTCGCCCATGCCATTTTCTTGCTGAGTTCCATAGAATTAGTTCCATCTCCGGACGCGAAAGCTATGGTTACAGAGGTTCATTCTAATTTCTTTCACTCTCGATAGGTGGTCATTGTACCAATAAATTGTGGATTTATGATGGTTTTGGCTTTGTGATTTTGATTTTGTAGGATCGAGAGATCCTCGGCGGATGGCCGCTTGGTCTCGAGGTTATGAACACAAGGCTTCGAATGACGCAGCCGGAGAGGTTACCGACGATAGCTAATTTGCACATTCCTTCCATGAGTTTCTCCTCTTTGTCGTCCTCCGAGCTCGACACTGTGGTTCGTAAACCTACCTGCAAATCTCAACTCTTAAACATTCCATTAATCAGATTAGAGTAACGAAAATAATTTCGATGAAATTAGCCGATTGCAACCGCTCAAACTTATAATTACAGAGGCATTTTCTCCATTCTTACATTTGGTTTCTTCTCTTCTGATATCGAGCAGTCGACGGCGTCGTTCTTCCAAGACCACAGCGTCTCACTCGGCCGGCTCATCGGAATAAGGCCGGCCGACAAGACGTGGTTGTGCTTTCCGACTGCCACCGACGGAAGTGAGAGTGTATCGGTAAACGCCGGCGGCTTAGATGTGTCGAAAACGAACGGCGATGAAATATCGGGACGAATCTGCATTCCGATTGTGATCGGTATCGTCTTGAAGATGATCAGAAATTGGAGGAATTCGAGGAGTTGAATTGTATTATCCGATGAAGAACCAGAAACGAGAAGGAAGTAGAATTCCCCCAACGTAATTACAAATTCTAGGGAAGATTTGAGTCGGTAATAAATTTATCTTTGCGAATTTTTCGCTTCGTCTTCATCCTTTTGAGAGTTGGATGGATTTATGTACTTGAAGATTCTAAAACAAGATTTGAAAAATGGTTAAGCTTCTGTTTTCCCCATCACTTTCTACAGAAAACAAGATATTGAGATTTGATCGAAAGGGGATTTGAAGAATTTCGAAGTCAATCTACATGTGCTGCATCAATGCAATAAGAAATTCTCGAGTAAATTTAAACTTCCAGATGTTTTTTCTTTTTGTTCTTTTGAAAAATATCAAATATTATTTGACAAAGATAGGGTAGAGTAAGAATTCTTGTCCAAAAAAAAAAGGTAGAGTAAGAATTTATATCCTAATATTTTAATTTATCAAAAGTGTTTTAATCTTCACTTTAAATTTTTAAAAAATGCTGTAATTTTTATTTAAGATAAATTTTGATTTGCTGAATTGTTTAAAAAATTAGATGAGTTTAATGAATTATAAAACATAAATGGGTCTAAAATTTATAAGATCCATATAAAAATGACATTAAAATTGTTTTACATGAATTTTTTCTGGTTAATATTAGCAGGTGAATTAATAAAAATTTGAATATTATTTTTTTCCTGTTAATATTAGTAGGTGAATAATAAAAAATTGAATAGAGAATCGCCATACTTATCTAAATTTAGAATCTAATTAGATGCAATTGAAAGTTTAGGTTAACCAATTGATACAATATTTCAAAGTTTGGTGGTAAATTTTGATTATTTTTATTTTTAATAGATCAAAGAGTTTTTAAATTGCGAATCCAACAAAAAAGGCAGAATGAGGCCCTATGGTCCTTTTTTTTAGCAATCAAAAGGTATTAACTAGTTCATTAGTTTGAATCCAATAAGAGGGCGCAGGAAAATAATCTAAATAGGCCTAACCTAAACACATGATTTCAAACTTCCATCCATAAATATGACCCAACCTAAGTTTTAATTTTTTTTCTTTTATATGGTCAATTCAGCTCCAACTAATCATTTTCAAGTTTTAAAGACGATTGATAGACTGAAATAGAAGAGAGGTCATTTTGTAGTTTACGTGTGGAAAAATACATTGTTATCCACCCTATTCAAACATTATTGAACCAAGGATGATATTCATTACCAAAAATATGAGAAATGTTTTATTTTGTAAATATGAAATAGAAAATAAATTGCAATTGATTTTATATGATTTTATATCATTAACAAGAAGAGAGGTCAAGAATATGAATGGAAAAGATATTACATGCTGTAGTAAAAAAAATATATATATATATATATATATATATATATATATATATATACTTTAGTTGAATTTCAAAATTACTAGATCTAATCATGAACCAAATGACAAGCAAATATTGAATCTAAATCATTGATTGAATTTTGAACATTCCAAATTAAAACGTAAACCCCAAAAGAAATTATTTCGTTAAATTATTTATTTATTTTTAACAAAATTGACTGACATACATAATTTATTGTATATTTTGTGTATCCATTTCATCAAAGTAATTTATAAAAAAAATGGTATAATTTGCAATATAAATATTTTAAATTATTTTTAAGATAAAAAGAATATTTCATTATGATACAAAAGGCAAATTATCGTCCTTGCTAGTTGCTAAGATTGAACTTTTTTGAAAAAAATAAAAATTGCTATGTGCGGTAGAAATTTTTGCGCCGTTGGATCAGAGTAATATGGCGTTGATGATTGATCTGCAAGGTTCAAAGATGTGGTACGGTACGAGCGAATACACCCAATTCACGAATACCTAAAACGGGATCCGATCCCGCGAAAGGGCTAAAACCTCAAGAAAACCCCAGCGGCGAGCTCTTGGACTCCCGTCCCAAATCCCTGAAGTATGTCCACCGCCGCTGCCATGGCTGCTAGGTCAGCCCTCAGATCAACCGTAGCGCGGGCCGCTATCTCCGGGAGACTTACCGGCGGTGCCAAAGTGAAATCAGCGCGTTCTCCGTTCGGCATGCCCAAGCAGAACCCACTCTCCCAATCCCATCGCATTTTGAGGTAAATTTTCGATGCAACTTTTCTGTTTTTTGGATTCTGTTATGCGTGTGACAAACTTGTGCTGTGATTTGTGAAGGTCTCCTGTTGAAATGAGTTGCTGTGTGGAATCGTTGCTTCCTTACCACTCTGCTACCGCATCTGCATTGCTTACGTCTATGCTTTCCGTCTCTCGTCGGAGTTACGGTTGGACCCCTGAAGGTATTTCCTTGCTCCTATCGTGGAATTGTTCTCTCTGAACTGTTTCTTTTAGGATTGAGTAATGATTCACCGACGAAGTTCCTAAGTATTTCCCTCTTGCACTGTATGTGGATTCTAGTTTCCGTTAGTAGCTAATAAGTTGCTTGGTTCTTGTGGCCCTTCTTGTTCCGCCTCATTGTGGGGGTGTAATCTTTTAGGTGTATTGAATGAACATTTTTGTTCGTCTGGCTGAGAGTTTATAATTTCATTTTCGACGACCCATCTCTTACTCTCTTGCGCAATGAAAGAGTGCACGTTGCTTTTCCTTTTGTAGGGCAAGACGAGACTAGATGAGGTCTTAGCATCAGCCGATGGAATGACTGGATTTATTTTTGTTGTCAACTTTGTGGAAATAATGGTAAAATATCACTCAGAGTAGATTATGTAAGAAAATCATTTTTTTGTGGTTGAATTAGAGCTGAGGGATTCAAACCTTTGTTCGTACGACATATTGGACGTTGGCTGACTGAAACTCCAAATAAATTATTCAGATCTTGTTATTTTGCCTTTCTAAGTGGAAAAGTTATTTGTTTTATTTATCCATTTAATCCTTAGACCAATCAGATTTTCTGATTCAATGGTTTGGAGGTCAATGGATTATAATTTACTGGTTATGTTTTAAAATTTCCTTATTTTGGTGCTCTATGGTATTACCGTCTATCCACTGTCTGAATTTTCAACTAGTGTCTATAGAGCTCAATCTTGATTATTTATTCACTATATCGGATTAATATCAGAGCACAATAATGAGAATAGTGTGTGAAAAAGGTCAAGTTACCTATGAATTTTCTTTTTCCTCGTTCATTGATGACATTAATTTTAGTAATGTGACAAGGATGATATTGATTTCTTCTACACTCAGATTGCAATGATGATGTATGAGAATGTCGGATGGTTCGAGCACTTGCCCTCTAAAGACAAGATGCTGGAATAAAGTCATGTATTGCTTGTTTTTCGGTGCACTGAGTAGTTCAGTGACATTGGGTTTTTTATAGCAGTAGGGAGAAACAAACTCATAACTGGGTTTGTGTAGGTTGATATTCATGTTGGAAGGTAGTGTAATTTTGTTATAATCACCATTACCAATGACTGTTACCATCCTTGAGTTATAACTACTGTATAAATGTTTTCTCTCTTAAAACTTTGGGGACTTTACTTAAGTTCATATCCTTTTATTGTTACTTTCTATAAAGTGGTGTTATTACATCATTGTCACCCTGAAAAGTGAAACTTCTACATTTGTGTTTATGTTGTAGATTCTTGAATGATGAATGCTACTACTGAGCAGGAGTTACCTAAGGTAATCATTTCTAGGTTAGCATCCAAGCCTTCCTCCTTCGACTAAAAGAATTATTATGAAGTATAATACAAACATCAGCAACATTGAAATTTTAGTGCGGCACGCACAAATTGATCCAAAAGATTAATTAGTGCAGTTGAAATGAGTTATAGTATTAGGAGAAGGCTAGGGGAATAGTGTTTGGGTTCATAGAACGTATACAAGTTCCTTGTGGTAACTCCTTGAAACAGAATTGTATGTAGCTGGCTTACCCAGATTGAACTAGATCAAAGAGCGAGTTTATGTTCGCATTTTAGAAATAATTTCAGTACACCCATAGCTGTTCCTATGACTGATCCCTTGCGTCCATTACTTTCCATGATGGCCTTCCTTGAAATCTTCTATTCGTTGAAATATGCTATCAGGCTCCCTTCAGTCCCGTCCCCATATTCAATCTCATTGTCTAAAGTAGGTAATAGATATACAATTTCTAGAATGCAACCTTGCTTCCATCATCAATCTTTTGCGCCTTTATATATCTAACGCCACATGTTTCTTTCTCTAGGATCGTGAGAGATTGCTCATTGCTGAACTTGGCTAAGCGACTTGCTGTGTGATTCTTTACTGTTTACTTGCCTTAGAAGTCTAGGGGTGGACAGATTTACAATTTCCAAGCTGGAGGATAACAATATACATGGCATTGTTCATTAATCATGATGTGTTTTGGGCATAAAAATTGAACTTTAGATTAGTTTGGTTATGCAGATCTTAGACAATGTTTATAATCTACATTTCCCCTTCTGTTGTATTGTAGATGGATGATTACTGTCTGTTGAGATGTGGTGCATCGATCATAGTTTCGAGAATTTGAATGGAGACTGTAAGATTTTGATTAAGCCGATACGTGACTTGGTTGATGATTTGAGATTTCCAACTGTAGGATAATGTTTTTATGATTCTCCCTGCAAGTAACAGTAAGTAATTTCCTTCCAAGTCCAACCAATGTAGAATTGGATGCTCCAGTTACCTTTTTAGTAGGAAAAGGGTGCCTAGATTTGGTAGTATGAAATAATGGTAAGCATTTTAGGTGAACTTATTTCGATTTTGGTTTTGATTTTAAGAATTCAAAAAAGTTACAGGTAGAAAATGGTCGAAACTTGTTCTAATGATGGACCTCTTGTTAACACTTTAGAAATAGAAAATAAATCTTGTTTTGATTTTTGTTTTCAACAAAAATTTTCCCATGATTTAGACATGTCTTTATAGGTAATATTATGACTCAGAATAGATATTTGAAACCGGTTATTTATAATTTTTTTTTAATTTAAGCATTGGATAAGTGATTAATAGATTTAACTGTACAATTTGGAAATATCCACAAACAAGCTCTAATTTTCAATGATCTAACAACTGAAAGTATTTTCATATTTTGAAAAAAAAAAAAAGAATCCAACGCTGAAACACCAGTATACCAAATTAGAAATTTTCTGTGGATTTTGAAATGTGGCCTTTTTAAAGAACTATTATCATTATGCTTCCACGAGTGAGAATGGATGGGATTTTTCTTTTCTGTGCACCGGGAATCGATTTTAGTTGTTTCATTTTACCATTTTTTAACCGTTTGGCTCGTTTGATTGTATTTGTTTACTTTTATTTTTTATATTTTTATTCGTGGATGATTTTGTTTCTTTAGTTTATCGTTTAAATTAAAATATGATGAAATTTAAATATTGCATCAGGTAACATCGGTTTATATTATTCTTTATCATGCTCATGGCTCATGGTAGCGTTCATATTAATATTGAACTTTCAAAAATTAGTATTTTGGTTTTACCATTCTCAGGTTCAATCAACTTTTTAATATTTAAGATTCAAATAAGTATTTTAACAGTTAGTGAAAATTGTTGAGAGTTAAAAGAATGTTCGACATGTTTCTTGGAACACCTGTTTAGCATATTTATTTTTTAGAACTATTTTTATTCTCATATTTATATTTTAAGTTTGAAAATTTAAAATTCAACGTTAAATTAAAAATAACAAAATTGTTAGATATATTTAATTAATAATATTTTAGATTAAACTAAATATTTAGTAGATTGAATCTTAATAAAAAATGGAGTGTCTCCAACAAGGTTCTACTAAAAAAAGATCATATATTTTTTATAAAAATATATATATATATATATATATATATATATTTTTTTTTTTTAGTTTTATCATTACAATTGAGTCAAGTTAAGCAAAGAATTCCATAAGAATTATGGACTATTTAAATATCCTAATTACATTGTATGAAATTTATACATGAAACAAATTTATTTAAGAGGGTACTCATCACCTAAATTACAAAACTATCCTTTTGTATATACACATTAATATTCATTGATTTTTAAATTCCATAATTCATTGGAAGGTTATAATTTGAATCTCATGATATTTGCTGCTAAAATACCAAAACATCCAAAAATATCTCCAAATCCCTCAAATTCGAAAACTCCCAAATTTGAAAATAGTGACGGTTCGTGTCTTCTTCTCCGTTCGCCGGGATTATTCTTCCGACTGCTTGCGTCTTCTCCGACGATTAACCTTGATTTCGTCTGCTCCTCCATTCGTCTGCTTCGATTCGTTTGCTTCGTCTGTCTCAGAGGCTTCGTATCCGTTGTAGAGTTGTCYGTTCCTGTCGCCGAGCAGTCTGTTTCCATTCTACCATCGTTCGTTTCTGCTCCTTCGTCTCCGGTCCCCACCTCCATTTTTCTCCATCGCCGAAGTAGTTCATCTCCGTTTATCCCAATTGAAAAGTTTGCATTTCAATATATCCTTATGTTGAAAACCTTGTTTTTTTTGTACTGTTAAACCCTTTTCTTGTACTATTTTTTTTTTTGGTATATATTCCAATATATCCTAACGTTCATTCCATACCTAAGTAGTGTATCCAATAGTTGTATATATAGGGTTATATTGGAATATATCTTATAGTGAGTTTGATCTTAGCATACAAAGCACCATAACAAATTTGTGTATTTCCCTTTTTGTGTGTACGAATATATGGGGATATATCTTATAATGGTTGGCTTGCACTCTTTAACTTTTCGTGTATAGAGATATATTGGGATATACGAGGGAAAAAATGCTCGAATGGAAAGGAACCTGTTGAATCAAATCTGAAATGCGTCCAACAGTGGCTTCCAACAACTGGTGGGAATTTACACATGAATAGAGATGAAAGTGGATATTTTTTTCATTAATAATAATGGTAAATCATGAGAATAAATTTTTTTTTTTGAAAGGGTGATCGAGTGTTGAAATTTTGTATGGGGCTCACAATCATTAAACGAATATGATTACAATTTAGAGATTCAAATCTTTTAAATTTCAAAAAAAAACTATAATAAAAATAAATATAATAAAAAAGGGTAAAATCGGTATTATAAAAAATAGAAGTCTCTAAAATTTGAAAACTTTAAACATATGTAAAATTAAGTTTAAAAAACATTATCTCAATTCGGTATTTAGAACTTGAATTCTATTTATAAATTTTTTCTTTTTTATTTATTGAGATAATTCCAAAGAATAAAGTTTTTCTGTTGCCAACCATTGACAATAATTATTTTAGATTAAAAACTAATCATGATAAAGAGAAGAAAAAGGATGGTTGTGAAAGAAAAGAAAAATGGAAAATGAGAAAAAATTTCAACCACCAAAAGGACATGTGGAAAATGACAAAAAGGAAAAGAAAAATGAATAATAAAATAATAAAAGAAAAGGCGTTGGAGACGCGATTTTTGCTCGCGTCTGTACCTCGAAACCTCATCCATCTCTGTGAAAGTTCAATTTTAGAGGAAAAGGTCAAATCAAAATCAGCGAACTACCGGCTTCAATTCGTTTATTTCCCCCCGTTTTTCCTTTTCCTTTTCGATCAATCATTCAATCCAACCATACATCTCCTCTTATCTTTCTCTCTCTTTTTCCATTTCTTTCTTTCAATCCAAACGCACGCTTCCTGAAGTTCGTTCTCAACAGGTAATACTGCCGGAAGCCGCTGTGTTTTTCTTCGTTTTTTTCCCGCCTCTCTTTCAGATTCTAATTTGATCCAACCCAGTGCTTCGTCCCGCTGGTTGCCGGAGGAAATGGACTCCGATTTCTGGACCTCCCGCCTCGCCGCCGCCAAGCGCCAGTATATGTTGCAGCATCATCACCAGAGCTCCAACTTAGGTTTTGCATCCCTTCCGTTTTCTTTTTTTTTTTCCTTTTAATTTCATGATCTATCGGCGTTGAATCTTTATTCCCCTCTTGTTCCTTGTTGCTTGAGTTTAGATCTATTGGGAATCGATGATTTGGAGATGGATGATGACGGCCGCCCCCATTTTCCATGCCCTTATTGCTATGAGAATTTTGACGTTATGTCCCTCTGTTCGCATCTGGAAGACGAGCACTCTTGCGAGACAAGAGTCACGGTACGTGTTTTCCTTTTCTTTTATCTGCGTGCAACCAATTTTATATACTATATATTCTCCTGGTAGTATAGTTTTTTCTTAATGCTACTGCAATTATTTGAATCGTCGCTGACTGCTGCTCCACAATTTATTCTCTCGTTTCATGTTCAGCGTTTCTAGCCGCTTAGGTCCTTTGACAGGCTCTCATAAGATTTATGGTTTTTGTGATCTGAGAAATGATTCCGGCTGGATTGTCTAATTCATGAGAGCTTTTATCAGTTGTTGTTTAGGACGTACCGTAGTTATAATTCTGTCAATCGTTTGTAGTTGCTGTACTTGAGAATTGTTTTATGTCTAACATCCATTTGATTCTCTAGCAGTTCCGTTTGCTTGTAAAATTATTTCCCCCTTACTCATTATTCGATGAAATCCCCAAAGTAATGGAACGAAACTGTGAGAAGAATTAAACTTGTTCCGCATCATCTTTCATAAGCTCTCTCTGCGTCTTGTCCCTTTCTTAATCTGTTCTTTTGGATTATTGGTTTATGAGAAAGTAGGCTTCTGCTTAATTTGCATTCTCCTTGCAGGTTTGTCCCATATGCTCAGTTAAAGTCATGGGAGACATGTTAAGTCATATAACATTGCACCATGGGCACTTATACAAGATATCCTTTAAATTTTAACCTTGTTTTTATTGACTGCTACCATTTGATTGGTATACTTTGAGGAGGAAATTATTAGTTTTGCTATGCCTATCTTGTTTACTTAACAAAGGACTACCTTCAGAGACGTCACAGGTTACGTAAAATTGCTATCCCCAACAGTCAGGCATTGTCTCTGTTGAGCCGGGACCTTCGTGAGGCTCATCTGCAGGTGCTTTTAGGGAGCACTGGGTACCGTACAAGCACCACTAATGTGCCTAGTGCAACTCATGATCCATTTCTATCATCACTCATTTTGAATTATCCTGCCTCTGAAGTTGAAGATATTTCAAAATCCATGCTAACGACTGCCGAAGAGCCATCTTCAGAGAATGTGGCCCCTTCGCCTATTTGGAAACCAAGGTACTTGTTCACATCCGTTTCTTTTTCTTTATTTTTCCCTTTAGAGTAATGGATTCCTCTCTTATTGTTACTCTTCAAGCCACTACTGTTTTTGTTCATCAAAAGCGGGGTTTGGTTAGATCAAGAAACTATTGATACCTTTCAACTCCCTCATATGCCATGACTGAAAAGTCGCGGCCTTTACAAGTACTCACCTCTGATTGGATGGTCAGAAGGTAAGAGAACTTCATGACCATAGTCAAGTGACTCAAGTAACAGAGATCTGCCTGTTATGCATTGACGGAGGAATTAATCTAGTAATACCCTCTGATTATTGCTTCCTGTTGTTTAGTATTAACACTTCTTCTCCCTCTCTCCAGTTTTGATCCTTCTTTGAGCCAGGAAGAACGGGAAAAAAGAATGAGACAGGCTATTGGGAGAGCAGGTTTTATGCGAGATATGCTTTTCTCAACTCTCTTAAACGACTAATGAAAGCAGTAAGTTCCTACAAAAATGATGCAAAAATGAATAAATTAACAGATGTTGAATTACTTCTGGGTTTAATTCTTATGGCTTTATTTGTTGTCGACCCAATATCAAACTCATTGAGGTCAAACACTCTTTGAGTATTGGTTGATGATAATTATTCTTCATTACAACCAGGAATGGATTACGTTGAATATAAAGCTGTCTGTTTATTTATTGATCATTTTAATTGTACAATATTGTGGTTGTGTTGCAAGAAGAATTTGAATATAAAAATTTCAGAATAGTGAACGACAAAAGGGGAGCATTGAGCTCATTGGCGCTCGAGGGTGGGCCGGCCAGGACCAGGAGCCAGACCATAATACAAGGACAAATTTGAAGCGAAACTTCGATGGTCAACACAGCGTAAGAATCTCGGATTAAATGGCAACTATTGGGACTGGGCCTGGGGCTACTTCCAAGAAATTATCGATGCTTTCTTTTAAAACCTTCTCTTTTCAATATGACACAACTTGGCTGAACTATCATCTTGAAATTGAGACGCTGCAATTTATTATAGCGTGATAATGAATTGGAATTTGGTGTTATAATTGAGAACAGGGAAACGGATGTTCATGGAAGAACATTGCATATAATGCTGAGTGACCAAGATCATTATAGATCCAACTTATTTCAGCTATCATTTTATATGTTTAGTTTTAAGGTTAAATTATCATTTTAGTTAGCTGTTTGTGCTTCATATCAGTTTAGTTCTTGTGGTTTTATATGCTTTAATTTGGCCCTAGAATTTGATTAAATCTCCCAAAAATCTCTCAGACCCTAAATATTAATGTGGTAGCGATGATAACAATGGGGAAACTTGACCTAGGAACTAAATTGAAACTTTATAAAAGTATAAGATTTAAACATTGTTATTGTGAAACAATTTGACTTTTTGTTCTATGTTGTCCCTTTGATCTAAAAGCTTAAAGCTGTGCTGTGTGGTTATGTTTATTTGACTTGATTATTTGGCTCTGAGATGTCGTTTATTATAAGGCTTGAAAATTCAAAGTTGTTATATTATAATAAATTTAATTCCTTGATGTATTTTCTATATGTCAGATCGTAAACTTCAATGTTTTTTTTTTTTTACTTAAATTTTAATCATTGTTGTTAGCTTCTAATGTTTTAGATGACCATGATTGATTAACCAACATCTCCAAGAGTCAACATCCGGAAACGCGTATCGTCATCAAGTTTTTAGTATTTATTATTTTTTTTTAGACACTCATCAAGTGTATTTAGAAAGATAGGAGACGGCTTCTTTTTTCTTTTCTTTTTCTATTTAAAAAACATTTTGACGGCAAATAAATGCTAGGTCAAAAATTACTTTAAATTGTGAGAGGGAATAATTAGTTATTGTGCACAATTCTTTCAAGCAAAAGGCCAGAATAATTAAGGTTTAAATATTATTTTAGCTTCTCAACTTTCAGCTTTGGTTTATTCATCTGAGTCTTTAGACTTTTAAAAAGTAACTATTTTATCCTTCATTTTTATTTCTATCTCATTTCTGTTGGATCACTCTTCACCCATTAGATTTTTTGAAATTTAGCATTAAATATGTGTTAAAGAGTTTTCAATATATATAAAATTTATGGTCAAATTTTACAAATAGGAATCAAATTGATCACTTTTTTTAAGTACAATGGTCAAAATAGACATTCTCAAAATACAATGATTAAAATAAATAAAAGTTGGAAGTATAATGAACAAAATGAAAGTGCAAGAATTATATGAACACAGCCTTAAATGTTGATAAACTTGTTAGAATTTATAGGGTTTCATCTTAAAACTAATCAACAATGAGATCAATAATCTATGTATTTTTTTTTATACCAAATATTCGTTTGAGTTTGTTAATCCTATTGTAACATAAACGGGTGATTTAACTAAAGTATCTAGACCAATAAAATTAAAACTCCGTAGGCCATAAATTCTTACTATGAATATTAATATTGATGATTTTAATTTTGTAAACAATTTCACCACTTGTCCTTGATATTTCTACGTATATGGATCCATAACCATAACCCATAAGAGAAATTATATAATTAGGGGGGCGGCGGTCGGTCGGCGGTCGGTGCTATAAAATTGACCACTCGAAAAGTTGAAAGATTCCCCACTTATTACCCACTCCCGTGCGCATCCATCTCCACCGTTAATTCTCCCACAAATCCCCTGGTTCACAACGCATCACACGGCTGCAGACCCCCCTTCCAAAATAGCAAAAGCAAAATTTGTTAGATTAGAAATTTAGATCTCTCTAGTTTTCTTTTTATAGCCTTCTATAATTGATAAAACTTAAATCCGATTATTAATAAATGCCTGCGGCAAATATAGCAACGAGAAAAATAATAGTTAATTTCCAATATAGCCACGCCTTTTCATTTAAAAAGTATATAAAAAAAGTCCAATTCAAATGAAAAAAAAAATTAAAAATCGAGCCCAAGTGTACAAGTGATATGCTTCTGTTAGATAATATCAATCTAAAATGAAATATATCATATGCTTATATATCAACAAAAAACCTCTAATGTTAAACCAAAATCTTCAACTCAATTATAGTCTTATTAATAATATACCTAATATAAAATATATCACTAATATACTTATATATCAATAAGAAACTCATAATGTTATTCAATAAGTATTTTTTTATTATTCTTCCAAAATCTCAGATTTATTCATGTACTCTTTCTCTCTGCTCTAACGTCACAATAACAATTTAATCTATGTACACGTAAAATTTTTATTAATATCTAATAAATTCTCTCATATATTTAGATCAATAAATTGATTAGGAACAAAAATATTTTTACAAATTATAAAACTAAATCGGCATATAATAGAAATTGACACCTTTTACGGTGTAAAGTAAATTGTCACAAAAAAAAGTGCGTTTTATTCCCACATAACGGTAATGGGACCTATCGCTTAATAGGAGAATGGATAAGAACGTCTGAAACCTCCCTCCCGATTGCCCCTTTCACTGAACAAATCTAATCTAACAAATCTAAAAGTTGACACCTTTTAGGTTTCAACTTCAATTCCTTCTTCGATCTTCGCGATTCTGTGTTGCTTTCACAATTCTAATGGCGTTGGAGCTTTTCGTCTTGGGCTGTACCGGAGTTGTGGTCTTCCTCCATGGCGCTAATTTCTTCTTCCACGCTTTCTGGCACCGCTTCACCGTCCGATCTCTCAGGTACCTGATTTCCCCCTTTTCTTCTCGCTGATTGTCCCTTCCGATTTCCGATTTCCATTTTCGTCGGGAGTGTTCTCTGCGACAACTTAGGGCTTTTCGTTCTGTTTCTGTTTTGGTTGTCTTGCTTCCATTTCCCCCCTTTCTCCCGGATCTGCGATTCACTAAACCTAATTACTGAAACTTTTACGAACGCCGGATTTTCGTCTGTGAGTCGGCGTCTAATGCGTAAATTTGGTTGTGATTTCAGCTTCTTGGGTGCGATTGGATGGTAGGAATTGGAGAAGCCGAGTAGTGGATCATTTAATCGAAGATGAACACGAGATTGGAGATTGTATATATCGGGCAATTATGATTTGAACTCACAATCTAGGATTACGATTTTTAACTGTGATAACGATGATGAAGTAATAATCAAATTTACACAACGCATGGTTTATCATTGAATGTCGGTTGGCTGATTATCTAATTTCTTGTGGATTGTAATTCTACTTCTCTGTGCACTGCGTTTCTCATTTTTATGACAGTAGATCGCAAGAATCGAGTCTGTTACGATTTTCTGGTAGAAGAGTTAGAAAAGTATCGGGTGGTTCAGATTCAATTTTGATTTGAAATAATCTTGGAGGATCTGTTTCCATGTTTCCAGAAGATCATATGAACTGAACTAGATGGATATTTAAGTATTGATGGTGGTGTGGTAAAATTTCCTGTTAGGCTTGATACTACTTGCTGGAGAAATGATATTTATGATTTTTTTTAGACAAGATTATAAGTACAAAGTTCCTCATCAAAATTAAGCTAAAAAATCAAACTAATAAGTCTTAATTTGTCAAAATGAATATAGTTCAGCGGTAATTGGCACATATCTCCAACCATGAGGTTGTTATTTCGAACATCCCCTCTCACGGTCACGGGCACCGGAAGGAATGGTTGAGAATCCCCTTAAAACTTTTAACACAAAATCAGCACAATCCATCACAAAGTGTAATGGCAGGGTGTAATTGACGAGTAGACAAAAATTTTCCACCATGAATTGGAGCATCCGGGTTGGATAGGTACTCGTGATAATAACTCCAATCTGTAGGACGGACTTTCAAGATATATATATATATGGACTACTCCATCTTAAAAGAGCTTTCTCCCATAGAAGAAGAGGAAAGGCTAAAAGGGTGTAAAAAAATCAATAGAAAATATCACTTTCTGGCCGATGGCTTTCATTTCTAGAAAAAGCTAAAACTAAACATTGTAAAATGAGGTTTTAATTAAGTACATGAAACTCAAAAATAAGAAGAATAAAGTATCTACAGATGTTTGACAACAACAGCAGAGTCTAGAAGCCACTGAATTGATTAGGTACAGAGTATATATAAAATGAAAATATAAATCAGTAATAATTATTATTATTATTTACAGAAATTGTTAAAAGGTAGGCCACAAAATTAGACCTTCATTTTGGGGCAGGGCATTTCCACCCACTCAGCAGTCAGCACACAACTCCACTCCTCTCTTCTCTCGGTTGAATTTTTTTTCAAAGTCCAAATCTTTTTAATCATTTGATTTTCCCTCTTCCACTTTCAGCCTTTGATTTCTTCAAACAAATGGAACACCTACCAAAGCTTTTAAAATGGAAAAAAAAATTATTAGAATCTAAACCAATGATCTTTCTAAAAAAAAATAAAAATTAAGAGACTCAAAAGTTAGAGAGATTAATTGAGTTATATTTGAGTTAAAACAATTCTCTTTGGTTGAAACATAGTTGTATGGACTGTTTTTTATTTGTTTTGAACTAGAGAGATTGTGGCTTTGGTTTTTTTTGTACTATTCAAACCATTTTGAAATTTTAATGTGAACACTGCAAATATATTCTTTAAAATTATGGAAAACTAATAAAATTTTACCATAAAATTTTTTCATATCAATTTCATCATATTACATCTTAAATTTATATAAGTAAGTGTGGCAATTTTTAACCTTCACCTTTAACTAGAAAAAGTGTTGAAAAGATTGTTAAAGAAATTAAAATCCTAGTGCATAAATTAAGGGGGAGAAGTTTTACCTATTGCCGTAGAAGTTGCAATCAGGTAGTGCATGCAATAGTGAAGCTTACAGTGGAGGAGAGAGTTGAGGGCGTTTGGCTGGAGGTAGTGCCAGCAAGTTCGAAGAGAGTTATGCGCGAAGATATCAGGGATTCCATTCAATAAGCTCGTTGTTGTTAATGCTTTTGTTTTATTGTTTGACCTAAACATAATTTCATTAATACCAGTCACTTTTGGAAATTGTTATATTGCTTATTGTTAAAAATATTGGGTAAATTAGCAAAATTAGAATAGAGTAATAACTGTAACACTTATCCAAGTACATAGTACATAGTATAATTCAACGAAACTAAAAGTTTATGGTAAAAATTTATATAATCTATCAAATTTAGGAGAAAAAATGAATAATTTTCCCAAAAATTATAAATTACGAAGATATATTCAAATCAAAAGGATTATGGCTCATAAGAGAAATTAAGATTGGTTAAATTACTAATTTCAGGTTAATTTCAATATTGTTCTTCGTATTTAAAAATGTTTAACTTGATCCCTATATTTTGGTCAAATCTCACAAACCTTTTATGTCATTATGAACGTCTATCATACTAAATATATGACATGTTTGAATCTAAAATAGTTTAAGGATGATTAATAAAATTTAACCAAATTATTTTAAAACGATAGGAACCCATTGGATAATTTAACTAAAAACAAAAACAACAATTTTTGGTAACATAAAATATATTTTTATGGTAAATATTTAAGATGGGAGCATTTATTTAGGATGGTTGAAAAGTAAAAAAGAAACGGGCACGCTTCGTCACGAGTCAAACGACATCAAACACGCTACGTTTACGTTTTTTAAGCCTCCATTTGTCAACGTTTTCAGCTTCAGCTCTTTCCGTTAAAACTAACTCTCAACTCTCTTTCCCTTTTCTTTTCTTTTATTATTATTTCAATTAGTTCTCTACTTTTTACCATTTGGGGGGGTTTTTTTACCATTCGGGGTAAAAATGGATGAATGAATCTGACTTGTAATTACAAGTCAATCCAAGTCAGTGTTTGCATTTGCATTTGGTGGCGTCCATTCTCCGGCACCTCCCCCGCCCGACAATAATCCGCCGGCTTTTCCGCCTCAAATGTGGACTTTTTTACCCTTTCTTTTTTAATTATTTTTTTCTCTTGTCTTTTTTCCGGCAACAATTAGTGGCCTGCCATTTCAATTCTCAATAACAATTTGAGTTTTATGAATTTTGATTTTATTTTTTTTTTTTAAAATCAAATTTGAAGGTGTGGAGTGGAGACTGATGCAAGGAAGCAACAGTTTTTGAGATTCACACTCTTTGGTCCTTTTTCTTTTTTCAGTTTACTTTCTCAAAATAAACGTTTTTCTTCTTCTTTTTTTTTTTTTCCTTCTTTGTGATGCTTATTATTGAGTAAATATTCTTCCAACATGGATAAAATTATGACGTTAGTATGATTCACTTTTTTAAAGTGTAACCGAATAATGGTGATAAAAGAATTCAATTTAAAGTAATGGTATTCTTTTTTTAATTCAACGTGGGATTTGAATACCGTCTCTTCAAAGTGTTACTTATATTTTTACCTAATTGAAATATGTTGGAACTTTATGACTAATAAAGATTAAGTTATATTTTTTATCTCTAAAGTTTTACCAAAATTTTTAATTTGAAATTTTAGAATTTATTAAAAATAGAGCAACTAATTTAAATAACCTAAAAACAAGATCGATGGTGGTATTTAGAGTAAAATAGGAAGATTAATTTTTTGATGTGGTAATTCCGACCTTGACATTGGTCAATAATCTTTTGATTAGAAATAAGTGTCTCAACCGATTGACCTATGCTTAGGTTGGCACTCATCGCAATTTCTTATATTTTATAAACCAAAATCTTATAAAGAAAAATTAGACTTACTACTTATTCTCTCTAGATTTACCGTTATTTCTTTTAGTACAATGTCATATGTGGTGGAGACTCGAATCCACAATTTAATAGAGATATATGACATTAATTAGTTGAGCATCACTCACACCCATTTTAATCAAGGTATATATTCTATATGCGATTAATATTTGGGCATGAGACGAATATCCACTAACATTAGTGTTAATTGAGGTATAAATTCACCAACATTAGCTTAACTTAGCGGTAATTGACACCTATCTCTGATAAAAAGTCATGAGTTCGAGTCCCTCACCCCTACCTATTGAACTAATAAAAAAAAAAAAAGAAATAAGGTATAAATTCTTTTTCAAGTAGATTTCTTTTTGTTATTCTCTTTCACACTTACCATGCCACTTTTCTTTTGTTCTCTTTCACACTTACCATGTCACTTGGCGTACCGACGTAGTTGCTTGATAAATATCACATCAATGTTAGTTAAAACATTTCATGCAACGTTTTAAATTGTCACACAACTAGTTATAATTAACCTTTTACATAGGTAAGAATCGAAGATAAATTAAGGTCATACTACGCATTTTTAATTCTCATACTCAAAATTAAAGAGACAAAAATTGATATATGAATTATTAGTAACAAATATTTTACTTTCAACGTTATGCCTATCCGAATATATTAGTTCATACATCGATTAGTTTATTTGAAAATGAATGTTCAATCCTCCACCTTCTGGACTAAAAAATCCAACACTAACTTCAATTAATTGTTTTTCAGAATACCTTAACGATTGGTTTAGCAACAAATTAGTTTTTGAGAATTTTATAATAAAAAATCACAAACGAATAATTTTGTAGGAGCACAAATTGATCGAATACAGACCAGAAAATCAAATTGGAGTAGAACAATATTCTAAGTGTAAAGATAGTTATAAAGACGTGTGTAATTAACTAAAATAGAAAGAAACATATTGACTCCAAACGCTAATTCTTCCTTCCACGGCTGAATTCAGAACTCCTTTTCAATTCAAATTTAGAATTTCATTCGCAGACTTTAAGCAGCCACCGAGATTACAAGATGGGTACGCAATTTAAATGTTTTATTTTATTTATTTTATTTTTTTAGTTTGAATTCGAACTTCTAACGTATTTTGATCTAGAATATATGTTTGAAGTAGTATTATGCTTGAATCGTAGGACATGCAATTTATATACGTGACTTTAATGTTTATCCAATTAACTAGGTGGAGCTGTTACTTATAACAATTAATTAACTAGGTCAAAATGAGAGAAGAGAGACTAACAAGTGTGGATTAGAAAGATTCTGGTCATGAGTCAGAGGCTGTGAGCCGCGCAATAGATATATTTTTTTGGTGGAATGAGCGGAGATTAACTAAACTCATTTTGTTAATGATCCCATATTGAAAAGATAATAGAACCTAACGAAGGTTTAAAATCTACGAGGAATACTTATCTTATTGTGGATTGATTTTGAGATGAACTCCTCTATGAATATTGATATATTCCTTTTTATTATTTCGTGATGCTTGGTTATCAATAAACGCTTCCAAGGACGACTCTCTCGAGTTCCCAACATTTGTGACGTTTTGGTTATTGGTAAATGTTTCCAAAAGTGACCCTCTCGACGACGTTTCTATATGACTAATCATATCAAAGAGTCACAAATTTAAATAGAGCTTAAATGAATAAGGCACCTTAATGCCATTCCAAATTTGGATGGTACTAAAAAAAATCATAATAAAGCACCGCATACATTATGGTAGAGTTAATTTTTTAAAGTTAGAATCTAACCAAAAGTTAGACGTATTTCATATTACTAAACACATGACAATTATTTTTTCATGGGAAAATTTATAACATCACTGGAGTACATATTCCTCTCAATTTACATTTAAAATATTTAGTATATTATTTCTTTTTGTATGGACCTGACATCATTCTTAGATGCTATTGATTTAGAAAATAATGAGAATGATATAGAAAACAATTTCCGTACTTTTGGTATTAGAAAATTTCCAAACCGTATTTAGTTCATTTGAATGCGACATGGCAACCATATTTAATTCATTTGAATGCTCCAATTTACCATGTCGCGTTGTATAATAGATCATTAATACAATTAGCATGTCATGTTTGCATTAAATCAATGAAGTTAATTATTTGAAGAAAAAATAAACTAACAACTAGATCCTACTACCGATAAAATTCAACCAAATCATTTAAAAATTTTATTTTTGTTTTAACAATTCAAAATACATTTATAAAAAAGAAAACTAGAAAAAATAGTATACCAAATAAATTAGGAATAAAAAAGCAAAAAATAAAACAGAAAAATAATTATTGATTTTTTTTTTGATACAACAATAATTATTGATTATTAAATTAGGTTAAAAACTAAATTTATTAAAATTAACCTAAAATGCATTTGCTTTATAATCCTGGGCGAGCAAGTTGCGGAGTAGCAATCTTACACGCTAATCTCGTTCTCGTATGTGTTTTTTTTTTTTTTTTAATTGAGGGGACATATCAAATCAAGTATTATATAACCATAATTGTCGCAATATTTACAACCTTAACCAATTAAAATTGGAGAGCGTGAGTTAAAGGCGATGGCGAGGCGCGTGGCGTTCGAGAGAGTGGAAAAGAGAGGGAAAGTGCCGTCAGAAAGCGCGGGCCATGTGTCTGTAGCAGCCCATCGTTCGTGGCTGCGGAAGCCTGAGTTTTCTGCGAATGCAGAGGACACGCGTCGTCACTTCACTGGTCACACCCTGGGGGATTGCACCACATGGTCAATGGACCGGTTCAAAAGGTAGAAAATTAACACCTCTCCCTCTCTCTCTCTCTAGCAGCCTCCTTTCTTATCCCCTCTCTCTCTCTAATCACGTCTTTTTATTTATTTATTTATTTTAATCATCACAACAACAGCAACAAAAAAACACGTAATTGCTCCATTTTAAAATTAATAAAATTCTAGTCACGAGGCGAAATGGCAGAATATGCCGACAACTTCCGAGGCCTCTCCTACGCTACACGCGCTCTTGTTCCTTTCATCAACTATTTGATTTGATTTTAATTAATATTTAATCTATTTATGAATCGCCGTCCGGGTAAATCTTTTCATAATTAAGGCATTTTAATGTAAAACGCTTGCGTTTTATCTCCGTTCCATTTTCAATTCCACATTAATTGATTGGAGATTAGTTTGGTGGAGAAGTCAATTTACAAATTTATTCACTAAGTTTTAAAAGTTTATTTAAATGTTTGAGATGAATATGAGAATTTAACCTGAAAGAAAGTGGTGGGTACGCGCGGTGGAAGATTGAGAGAGAGCGTGGTTAGAGGGTAAAAGCAAACGTAATCAACAGTAATGCAAAACGCGCCCTTCCCTGTGGATCTGCTGTATTGACAACCCCACATGACACATAATTCGGGGACTGGATTGCGAAATTACCACCACGCCCTCCGGAGTAGCCGCCCCTTTCTCAGTCAAAGCTCTTGTTGACTGTGCCCCCCTCTCTCTATCCACGCCGTTCGCCCAATTTCATCAATTCCTCGCCGATTCATCCCCCGATTTCCCAACCCCTTCTATAAAAAGCGACCATCGTTTCTCCACTCCTCGGCATCTCAACCCATTGCCCTCTCTCTCTCTCTCTCTCTCTCTCTCTCTCTCTCTCTCTCTCACCCAATTACGAAGAAGAAGAAGAAGAAATTACTTTCTCGAGGATCAAACGCGAGAAATCCCTTTTCGTTTGTTCGATTTGATTTTTGATCTGATCTGATCTGATCTGATCTGGATTTTCGGATAAATGGCGCCGAGGGAGAAGGCGGTGGCCGTCAAGGGTAACGGCGGGAGCGTTAAGGAAGTGCATTTCAGAGGAGTGAGGAAGAGGCCTTGGGGAAGATACGCCGCTGAGATCAGAGATCCGTGCAAGAAGAGCCGCGTCTGGCTCGGAACCTTCGACACGGCGGAAGAGGCCGCCCGTGCCTACGATACTGCCGCTAGAGAGTTCCGCGGCGCCAAGGCCAAGACCAATTTCCCCTTGCCCTCCCAAGATCTTCTTAACCTTAACAATAAGATTAACAACATCAACAATCAGAGCCCCAGTCAGAGTAGCACGGTTGAGTCCTCCAGCCGGGAGCAAGCTCTGATGGTTGATTCCTCCCCTTTGAATCTCAATCTCGGCCACGGAATCGCCGGAGCCATCAGTATTCCGTTCCAGCGCTACCAAATTCCCATGATCGGAAACGTTTTCGCCCGCGGCATACCGGCATCGAATCACCTTCTGTATTTCGATGCCGCTTTTCGTTCCGGAATGATCAAGAGTCATCATCAGAACCAACGGCTACCCTTCGATCACCATCACGAAGCGGTGAGTGATTTCCGGCGCGATTTCGCAAGCGGCGGCGTACAGAGTGACTCCGATTCCTCCTCCGTCGTCGACATGAACGGCCAGGACCTCAAGCCAAGAGGAAGCGGCCTCGATTTCGATCTGAACTTTCCCCCACCAGAAACCGCCTGAATTTTTTTACCCTACATATCTCGCACCATCGGTTGGGGATTATCATAAATTAGGTCTTCCCTTTTTTTCGGTTTTTGTTTAATAACAGCCTTAAATACGAAAGGATTATGACGGAGAAGAAGATGATACGATTGTGAATACGAATCCGATCTCCTCATTTTTTGCAGCAGACAAAACCCGTACACACAGGGTTCTCCCTGCTGTTCTCATCGACGAGGGATCATTTTGCAATATTTTTTTTGTTTCCCTTGATTTAATTTCTGTAGTTGGAAGTTGTAATCTCTGAGAAAAATATTTTTACAAGGAATGAATTAACGCTCGTAATTCTTACAAACAATATCTCCGTTTCTTTCTTTCTTTCTCAATCTGGCTGAATTATTAATTAAAGAAATTGAATGATTGGGGGGCGGTGGCGAAGAATGGCAGGAGCTGAAGGTCGCTGTAGGATAAGATTGAAGGAGGGGCTTCTTTTTATTTTTTTGGGGAAGGGGCAGTGGTGACACGTGGAATCGTGTCCTTAAATCCGAAGACTGATGGATTAGTTGTTTGAGCTGGAGAAAACACAAAGGACACGTGTATTGAAATCCGCCGGCGGCTTTGCTTTGCGTTTCACACACTGCACGAGTGAGAGAGTTTTTAATTTGGTGTGGCGTCCCCCACACGGTTGTGGTGAGGTCGGCAGGGGATTTGTTTTGGTAATCCTTGAAATTAACGTCGAAGTGCGTGAGGGTGAGGTGGGGCACGTGCGTGGCGGCCGTCCAATGTACAATAACCCGAAATGGCGGGACCACAACGGAACCGAAAGGGGAAGTGGGGATGCGCTGCGCGGCTGCCGATTTTATTTCTTTATTTATTTGTTAGGGCGTAGGGGTGGGGCCCAGTCTGGGATGGATATCTAATGAGGAAGATTTCGCTTTTCCCATTTATAGGTTTTAAAATATAATTGAGAGTTGAGAGTTGAGAGTTGGGAGTGGGAGGGTAAAGTGGTAACTGGCGACTGCCAAACGGATGTGGCTCTGCACTCTCCAATCCCCTCCTGTCCTCTCCTCCTCTTACCTTTAGCTTCATTTTCTTTTTTATTGCTCTTAATTAAATTTACCAAGGCCTACTAATTTTGTGCTCAAACCTAAAATATCCCTGGATGTTGCATCTTACAAAGACCCTCGTGAATCAAAATTTATGTTAAAATCTCTACCATATACCCTATTTTTAGTTTTAAGGGTCACGTACACTTTAGATTATGTTGGACCAATTTTGATAATGTTATTACTTTTTGTTTTTGGACAAAAAATATATCATAATGTTTGAAAAAAAAATTATAAACATGTTTGATCATTGTTTCTCTAAAATTTTAAACTAAACCAAAAAATTTCTAATGAAAGTTTTTTTTTTTTTTTTCGAATTGAATGTTGAAGATGTTTGTGTTATATTATGTAAAAATGATAAAATAATTATGTTGTCTATGTTTTTTCAAAAACGGTAAACAAAACCAAGAGAAATAATAAAGTTATATTTTCTTATTTTTGTTTTTAAGAACCACTTTTGAAGCTGTATGCAAATTCTAAAAACAAATCTCTTTGTTTTTTGTTTTTTGTTTTTTTTAGTTTTTTAGGAATATCAAAAAAAAGTTATATTTTCTTATTTTTTATTCATTGCATGTATAATTAGTATACAAAATGGAAATTGAAGCACAAATCAAAGTAGACAAAAATTGACAGTAAACAAAAATTGATAGTATATAAATTAAAGTATAATTTAAGTATATTTTTTCTTTTTATCTTTGTTTTTAAGGAAAAGAACAAAAAAAAAGGTATATGATGGATTGTGTGTATATACAGTAACTATGGTATAAAAACTAATATCAAACGAGTTGATTTCTTAACAAAGCTGCATCAAATAAAAAAGCAAAATTTGTTATCAAGGAAGACTTTATTAAAATATTTTTTAGCTCTTTAAGTATAAGGAGATGCTTATTTCCACGGCAAGACTATCATGGACGACGTGGCATTATTGTTTCAACGAAATATTTTCATTTATTTTCAACCTTTCATAACTTAGTTATCAAGCCAAATAATCCCATGCAAATTTATAACAGGAGAATTAAAATCTACAACAGTTGAAAACAATAATTAATTATATTTTTAAAAAAGCAGTAAAGAGTTTCAACCTATATAGCCCATGGACCAGAAATGTAGAAAATCGAGCCGTTTCTACTGAAAGCATTATGATTTATAATGAACATGGACCTAAATTAATTACCCCACCTATCCGACATGAAAAATGTCAATGTTTTTGCAAATCTTCTGCTCTGTGTTTGAAAAGACGTGTTCTATTCACATTCAATCCGACAAAGCCCTTTGATAAAATATATCACCTCTCTCTTCTCAAAATATTCCCTTTCACTTTAATTCAACATTTGTTTAAAAAAAAAAAAAGAAAAAAAAACCCTGAATTCGTATATGTGATATGCATTGAATGGAATGGAAGATTCATTTACCATGGCAAACCAAACGGCTTTAAAACTTAATTAATTATTTGGATATAAAAATAATAAAACGTAGAAAGAGAAAATGGAGTCAATATAATTATGGGCACGAAACTGAGAGCTTCCAGCAGAAGATTTATTAAATTGTAAAATAGAAATTAAAAATTTTGTTTATGGAGATTAGGTCCGCCGCACTCAAAACAGAACGCCCATCTAGATGAATATTTAAATTCAGTAAATTTCTAAAGTCCGCGTAACTTTTGTCTGCGTTTTGAACCGATCGGCAGAATCCTGGGAAATCAAATCTTTAGGCAAATGCAAAAGTAGATTTTTTTAATTAGAAAAAAAAAAATAGTAGGGGCAGGCGGGCAGGGGGGAAGGGCAGGGCAACGTACGGCGCGGGGGTGAGAACGTGTTGACGTGTTGGACAGAGACAGACAGATGGTCACACCGGCAAGTTGGCGTGTTTCAGAGAAGCCTGTTGTTTGGGAGTGGGGCCCACCAACTTTGAATTTTAATTTTAATTAAAAGAAAAAAGCGGCCGAACTGGGAAATGCGAGAGATGCCCTGCGATGAGTGATGTGCCACGTTTGGCAGGGCACCTCAAAAAGAACCTTATAATAAAAAATAAAAAAAAAATTAAATAAAATATAATGTTAACCAACTGGGGGTGGGGTATAATAATAATGAATTATTAGTGGGTGGCGGCGGCTGCTTCCGACGTGGAGGTTGCTGCATTTTGAGGCGACACGCCCAGTGAATACAGCTAACGGGGGATGGGGTGGGCCTAAGTATATGGGCCTGAGCCCATGGGCGGATGGCGAAAGCGGAGCTTGGCCGACACGCGATTGAGCGCGTGGGTGTACGTGTGGTGGGCGTGCAGAAATATTTGGGGGTGGGATTTTGTATCCCATAACGGGAGAATATGATGGACATGAGAAAGTGTGAGAGCCTTGCCTTAGACGAAAGTTTCGAGAGCGAGAACGTGGCGTTCAAGTCGAATTGGGCCCCACGTGTACGGCCCATTCCAGGGCCTGATTCCAACACGTTTCACCGAGCTTCCCGGATTCTCGCCACGTGTACCGACGCGCTCTACCCGTTATCTTTAATGATGAGATGGTACGTCGAATATAATATAATATAATATGCGATTGCAAACGCCGGGATGGGGCGGACGGGGGAGCCCTTTTCTTTGAAAGTATAAGGTTTGTTAATCATTATGATAACAGAAAATAATAAATTCCCGTTTTCTATTTTCATATTTAAAATATTTATTTATGTCACCATATTTATATAATTGCCTCCAAGATTAATGATATCTTTTATCTAACCAGTCCATTTTCTAAATTTTTGTGGCACAGTGAAAATTGAGGATTCCTAAAGTTAAGAGTTTTGATTTTGAAATACAACCATTCACCCTCACCTTTTTATGGGATGATGATAGATTACTTAAATATAATTTGTTGATAAGATATATTTTTTTTTCTTGTTTTGAAATCAGGAGGACAAATACGGTACTAGTAGCTACAATTGAAACATAATACTTTCGTAGATACGTTTGTTGTTGATTTCAATTAAATGCCGGTTTAAGAGTCGATTATAATGATTAAGGTGGTTGTTTATTAGTTTTACATCGTGATTGTTGAATTATTTAATAGATTTATTAGTAATTTAATACCAAAAAAGATGAATGACTGACCGATTAAAATTTTAAGAGTTGGCTTAATGACATTGAAGTAAGAAAAAGAGGAATTTGAGGAGTATGGATAGTTCAATATAGTGGGTTGCGTAGAATAAAAAATTATTATTATATTCATTGTTTTCTTTGTACAATAAATATGAGGTAAGAAATTAAAATAACGACCAAGTGTCTTTACCATTTAGTTATGTTTATGTTGGTTAATTCTCTTGACTGGAAAGTCAACGTGAGATATATAATATGTTTTTCTCTCAAGATCTCAACCATAATTAAATCAAAGACTCATGGCATGTTTTGGGCAGGCATCTTAGTCATCGATAATTTTTGTCATCTCTAATTTTTGTCATTTCTACTTTTTAATAAGTTAAGAGTTGTATTCATAATTAGATTAGATATAATTGTTCATTATAGATGTTGCCGGAAAAATAAAGTTGAACCCGACGGACAAGTTAGAGGGAAATGAAGCCCAAATGAAGTCCACAAGCAACAAATAAATTCGAGATGGCCCAAATTAGAGGAAAGAAGAGCAAAGACCCGAACTCAAAGGCTTGGCGAACAAACGATTCACAGGATGCGACTAGCCAAGGCTCGACACACGACTAACTTGGTCTCAACAGTTGGCCTTTTTCTCTATAAGTCCAATGACGAGCCAACTGCCTTTCTCTTGTCTCGTCCAACCCACAGTGATGTTATCTCTAAAACCCAAGAATATTAAAAAATAATTAGATATCTTAAAGAGAATAGGATTTGATTCCTATAAATATAATGGAAAACTAAACCTTAAAGGTACCAAAAAAAAAAAATCATACTCTAAGGCTACACATTATTAAATTTCTCTGTTGTAATTTTAAGTATTGGGGTGTGTGCGGTTAGTACCACACTAGTGTTAAGTTATTTTATGTTTTGCAAGTCAATGTCGAGCCTCTTTAATGTGATATTTGGTCAATTCACCCAACCAAATCTACGCATTAACGAGAACAACTATCGTTCTCCTCCTACTTTCTTGTTAATAGTCCCAACCTAGTATTTTCCTATATATATATATATTATACATCATTGATCTTGTTATCAGAATAAATCTAATTTAAATAGTTGGAACCAATGGATCAAATCAATTAATTCCACATTTAGTGGATAAGTTCTGTTAATAAAAAAGATGGAGCCAATAAAAAATCAATAGGACGATTTGTCCTGATGTTGGGCCGAGCCCAGTAAAGTTATGGGTCATTTGGCTTTTACATGAATCTTGAAAAAGGACTAAAAACAAATAGAAAATTGGAGTAGGTTTATTTATTTACCTTTCCATTAAAAAAAAATGGTCTAACTGATATTTATCAAGAATAAATGTCCATTTTGTTTTTTCCAATCGTTTGATTATTTTACATGTTTTATTCGGTTATATCTTTTAAAATGAAAATAACTTTTTATCCATTAATTATTCTATATTCTAACAGATTTTAGCAAAAGCGTAATTTCGTACCGATAAAATTAGTAGGGATTCTTCTATTTATAAACTGGCTATTATTTTAAAACTAAAAAATTATTCTTGCATTTTTTTAAAATTACCTATCTTAAATGGACTGTTACTCCAGATAAATATTTGGACCATATGATACTTGGGCTTAGCGTGTGGTTTGGATTGTTGGCACAAATTGAGGGCCCATCTAAATAATTAATTAATTTACACGACATTCGAAAAATAGTAAGATACTGTTTCTCTTATCAATATAAAAACCATTTTTTTACACAGATTCGAACCTAGATCTCGGGTGTTCAAACCTCCTGTCACTACACAACATCCGAAGGTAAATAAAAACCATTTTACTATTTAAAGTTTAAAGTTTGTATATATATAATTGTCAAAGCAAGCATAGTCAATCGTAATTGATATATAACTCTAACTTTAATTAAATATGTTGGCTTTCATTTGAACGGTCAACTCTGGATTAGTCAGGGCGAAAAATAAGAAATGCCTTTTTTATTTATTATTAATGTTAATCAACTTTTTTTTTCTTTATCAAATTAACGTTAATTAATTACCAAACCGTTTAACGTTTTAATTAATTTGGTTCTGTTTTCGGCTTGTACTAAAAAAAAAGAAAGAAGGAAAAAAAAAAACTTATCTGTCCAAAAAAAAAAAGAAAAAGAAACGAAGTACCAGAGCCCGGTTCTCAACCACGGTAGGCTGTGTTCATTTACCTTTTTCACTCGATTTCAAGTATTGTTAAGTCTTGGGAAGAAGCTTTCGTTTACGAACCCAAAGGCCAAAATCCAGAAGCCGGAGCCGGAAGCCGGAAGCCGGATGCCCTAATTCTTGGTTTTAGCATTCCCGATTGTCCAGCAGCTTCAATCTCGAATATGTATGATGCTCTCTCTCTCTGCACTGTTTGTATATGGTGTATCTGGAACATGGTTTCTGAATCTTTTAAGTTCAAGACACAATCAGTTCAAAATTTTTGATCTTTAGCTGCCAATTTTATTTTTAGGGTTTAGTTTTTGGCTGCCCAATCAATCTTTTATTCTTTGAGTATTCTGCAATTCCAAGACAGTGGACAATATAAATGTTTATGGGTCTAGCAGTCAGAAAGAAGGTAGGAGGCGCGGTGGGGAGGGAGTTATGCGTGGAAACTTTTAACGAGCTTGACACAAGGGAACGTGTCCGGTTCCTCGAAAGACGTGGAATTCTATGCTCCTTCGATGAGCTGCTTAGCTATCTGTCTCCCAACAAAATGTTTACAACTAGCATATGGTTCCTCCTGGGAATGTTAAAGGCTTTATGGAGGTTGTCCTGCTCGGTCACTCATTCAAGAAGGAAAAGTAAACCTTATGGTTACAACTCATTACATCTTTTTTCGGACTGTATGATTGGAAACGAATAATATTACTTCCTTGACAATGTTTTCTTCCAAATCGTTGTGTAAAATTGCCACCCTACCCTACAAAGGTAGACAAAAGCTTTCATCTTAGTGACCCAAGTAATTAAGAGGGAGCAGACTTGCCGAACATCCCAAAGCTAAGCACCTGAATCCTCCCTAAAGCCCTCTCTCCAATTGATCCCAGCCACTATGAATTTCTCTAGGTTTATTTTGAGATTTGAGGTGGATTTGAATGCTTCAATTAAGTTAAAGCAGTTAGAGATCATCTTTCCAATAAAGGTGGAGAAAAGGAGCATGTCTTAAGGTGGGTAACATGTATTTATTTATAGTCATAGTAAAACCTTCTATCAATCTCCCTTTCGTAACTTCATGCAGGAGGTGAATAAAATAATCCATCACCAATAGACTAAAAACGGCAAGGGAGGATCACTTTGACGAAGAGTGATATGCAATCGTAGGGAGTTGTAGGTGAGAACCCTTCTACCAAAGGAGAACCTCTAACTGTCAACACCTAAAATCCCAAATCAATTCGATGATAGATTACTTTGATGATCCACTATAGCTACCTACCTTAGGAATTAAATCCTATGTGTTTTTTGGCACCTAATATTGTGGGGTCAGGCAGCTGCCCCGTGAGATTGGTCAAGGTGCGCGCAAGCTGGCTTGGACACTCACGGATATTTAAAAAAAAAAAAACTTTGATGGTCAAAGACTATGGGTAAGGATAACTAATTCCATACTCAAAGTTGAACACTCCATTAGAAGGTTGATCAAACTACTTTGAGTGTTCAAGCATGCAATCCTAGGTCGAGAATCGCAAAGAAGTGATGAACTCTAAAGACTATACGACCTCTAAATAGGGTGGCATAAGTAATTTAAAATAAATATCTAAAAATAAGAATTCTTATTAAGGCCACATTATTGGCCAAACTATTAGGACTTAAACACGAAAAATAACAAAATTTAAATAGTAGAATTCCCTAACACAAAGCTACGTTATCTCCTTATATCTTCATTTGGCGCTATGTGTAGAGTTTCTTTCCATCTGTACTCTTTTGAGCCTCATTAGTTAAGCTCACTACTACTTGGATGGGAGAGTCGAGGACTAGTTGTAGCTGTTTGGCCCTTAAACGAGTGATTGGTCCAGGGGCATGCTAGAACATCTTGGTTCTTATTAAAGAGCCTTGAGGTTGAGGCATTCATGGAACCAAGATTCTCTCTCCCACTCTTTTTTGTTAATTTTGGCTGAGAAGACTTTGTGAGAAGAAGAGTTCTTCCTAGTTTGTCTATCAAGTTGTCTGCCTGAGTTTTTTTTGTGGAAACGCTTAGTACAACTGTGTAGAAAGAAATCTCTATGCCGTATCCCAGCTACTATGCACCAATTATTGTTGTTTAATGGCTGTGGTTTTGGTGCTTCTTAAAAGTAAATTGAGTTTTTTTAAACAGCCTTTTAAAAATTCGCTAGATCTGTACTAAAAACACAATTTTGATTTAAAAGATCAAGTGTTAAACAGAATCTTTTAACTCCATTTCCAAATAGCTAGTTTTGGATTCTGTTTTGGTTAGTTTTCTCAGAGTCAGTAGTCTCTTGGTCTTCCTCCTACCACATGACCGATCTGTTGTCCTGTGGATACTATATACAAAAGTCTTTTCTTTTCTCACACGAATGACTTCTTTTCTTTGTCTCAGTGTGTACCTTGTAGATGTTTGTAATGATATGGATACCAAGAGCCATGACAAGCACTTGAGATCAGATACCGTAGTCCCTGAAAAGTCTGAAGTCAATAAACTGTCCACCGTAGGTGAAAGTAGTGGCAATCTTGAACTTTTTAGTCTGTCTGGTAAGCCATTGGCAAAACTGGAGGAGCAATCACTTGGAGAGTGCACGAAAGTTGAATCAAGGAAGTGTCTGAAGGACAAGGAGACAGAAGATAAAAAATATACAGTTGATGATAAAGATGTAGAGGCTCTGAGAAATAATTTACCTAACGATTTTGGTGGCTCTAATTATGACAACAAGGTTCCATTTTACAATAGTGAGATTATGGATGCCAAAGCCACCAATGGATCAAGTGTCACTGTAAAGGAATGTGATATTGGACTAAAAAATCACTCGATTGGAGGGAGTATTAGTACTATGAATCCTGAGAGAGAAAGTAAGCAAACGGACATGCAACTAGAGAATGGAGAAAACCAAATGGCATCAAGGTACTGACTATGGTGGTTCAACGACTTCCTTTTTATTACTCATCAAAGTACCATATTAACAATTGTGTTAAATTAAAAAAAATGAAAAAGAAAGTACCATACAAGCATCTTTCGCATCTAAAAATTTCTCATACGGAGTGGTTATTTTATTTCCTTGTCAGATGTCAAGGATTGTTCTTGAACCATTCCTAACAATTAGAATTTCCAGATCAGCTGCTTCAAAGAAGAGGACAAGAAGTTTGTCCCCAAGTGCTGGTGTTAATATTGAAGACAAACACCCTGCTGTAGCTATCTGTGACTTCTATGCTAAAGGCTGGTGCATAAAAGGTAGTTCATGTGGCTTCCTGCATTTAAAAGATAAATTCGATGGTAGTGACGAGCACTCAGAGGAACACACAGGCGGTGAATATTTGAAAAAACAAGCTCAGCTCAATGAAGGTGAGATAATGTAACTTATGTAGATGCATGGCAGAAATACCTTCTCTAGCATCAAATTCTAATAGTACTTTCGAATGGCACAGGTTTGCAATGCAGTACAGACATGTTGAAATCGCCAGTTTTTCATCATCCACCAGATTCTTCTTTTCTAAAACAATCTTCATTTTCTCTGAAATTTGGCCTTTCTTCAGAAAGAACTTTGCAGAGCGACTTCACTGAAAGGCAAGGATGGGATGGGTTGCATGAGACAAACAAGTTTTTATTGAATCAGAGAGAGGATTCACTTCTGAGCACACTTCCTGACTGCCATAAATTGCCTTCTACTAGTTTTGGTCCCTCCTATCCCCTTAGTAGAGGGGTCTCTACATCAAGGAATGGATTGCCTCCTACGTTTGGTCTCTCTTCAGGCAGCTTCATGAAATTGGGTGTCATGGAGGAACCTGCTAATGTTGCATGCCCACGTTTGCAGAACGATCACCTTTCTCCAGTTTCGAGAACTTTGAATTTAAATACTACTCTTCCAACAATTGGTAGTTTGTCATCTCGTTCTACTACCTCTAATACCTCTTCTTTTTCTTTTACATCTTCCACAAGTGCAAGTCTCCTTGGTGCTCAAAAGATGTCTATTATTGACAGAGAACCTCGTGTTTTTACGACTGCTTCCTCCTTGATGAGAAGCTCTTCCTCCTTTTCTCCCTCTGAATCAGATAATTCATTAACCAATGCACCAATGAATTCTTCGGAGTACAAAGGGAAATATTCTTCTAATGACTGGGAGCCATCTATACCTTTTCGACCATCCTTTTTTATTCCTTCAATAAATACAGCAAGCCAGTATGATCCTTTCCTGGACAGCATTGAGGTACCAAGGATAGTGGGTGGTTCTTATAGTGTTCCTCTCAATCGTCAAGGACATGAAGAAGTATTGACTCTTTGTACCTTACGTAAGGCATCAGGTAATTTTATGGTTCCTGGGAGCTCAAAGCCAGAATTTAATGATGATGCAAGTTCTTTATCCTCTCGTAATAAAGCGGAGGATAAGAATGACAAAAACTGCTATGTACATGGCAAGGATTCTCTTTTGTTAGAAGCAGAAATGCAAGGATCTTCTGGTGTTGATGGTTGTAATGGTTCTAGGATTAGTGAGGCTGGTCACGTGGGTCTCACCCGGGAAAAATATGTTACAAAAACAAAAAAAAAGGATACTGACAGTGAACTTAGGCTTCCTAATATTTTATTGCATGAAAAGGATTCTGAAGCAGATAGTGATCGACAACTTGGTGATATGGATGGTAAGCATCTCATGGATGGAAATGTGCACAAAGAATCAAAAGCAACTAGGCACTTCCGATCTGCTCTAATAGAATTGGTGAAAGAAATATTGAAACCAAAGTGGCGTGAGGGTCATCTCAAAAAGGATGTGCATAACACAGTTGTCAAGAAAACACTTCATAAGGTTTTAGGTACACTACAATCTCATCAAGTTCCGACTACCGTAGAATCAGTTAAGCTGTATCTTTCTTCGTCTCGTCCAAAGATTGAGAAGCTTGTTGAGGTAGGTTTCTTTATTAGAAAGATGAATACTATGAATGATGTAAATCATGGGATCTGGATAGAATCTTTGTGGTACTGACAATTATTGACATTTATCTGCAGGGCTATGTTAGTAAATATGGAAAATCTTGAGATGGCAGGCTAATGCATTTTTTCTTTGGTAAGTTTCTAAGGATTCTACAATTTAGAAGCCTTTAAGAGTATGTCGAAGGTTGTTTTACAATCTTGGTTCTTGGAAACTTGAAGCTAGTTGTGATGATTATTATTTAATGCATTGTGATATTTTCTTATCATAAGCATCTGTTCTCCCCTCATGCCTCATCTAGTTGTGTTTGATTCTTATTGCTAGTTCTATTAAAATAACCCTATCATTATAACTACCCTAAATATGGTTTTGTTCACTTATACCCGGTGAAATCCTTCCCCCAATTAAACAGAATAATAATAATAATACGTATATACTTTAAAAAGGACGACTAAATTTCTAGCTTAATAACTTCCAACGTGATCGGCTCTAGCTTTCACTAATTATTCTATATTATTTTCATGTAAGCAGTGGCGAATGGTGTAAACTTGTTTACATTTACTTATTTTGTCAATCCAATAACATTTATAGATCTAATTACCTTTTCTGGCTCGTCTTTGTATTCTCATTCTAATTGATTTTTTAATTGTTCAACTTTTTTTTTTTCCATTTAAGCCAATTGGTGCAACTTTTTGGTAAGCTCTTTTGGCTTTGGTTTCTTTCTCACCTTTTTTTTTAACATAAAAGCTTTGGTTGTAGTTATTTGGTAAATTAATGCCTTATCTCCCCATCTTCTTTTGTATCTGTTTTTTGGGTTAATGAAGTCTCTTGTTTTCTGTTGAAAAATAAAGATAGATGAATATCTTGTCATTAGCTGATTCTGAAATTATGGCCTATTGGATATGAGCTGCAGTGCTTCTGAGACAGTTTTTAGCTGAAGGTTAGCAAAGTCTCTCGTTATTGTTATTATTATTTGGCATATCTAGTTTCAGCTATGTTTTTCTAACTCATGTATGAACTTTCTGGATGTTGAAGTACAGTCGATCCCAGAGAAGTTAAACATCATGTATTTATATGTATATGTATGTATATATATATATAATTTATTATTATTATTATTATTTTGTTTAAATCTTATTTTTGCTCCTTTCATACTTATTTTGCTTTTTTCTACATAATTGAATTCCGTGATTGTATAGTCCCTTTGGGGAGGGTTCCCTCAACTCTCTGCCTCTAGGCTGTTTTTTGCCTTTGTTTTAGGCTCTCGTTGATTTTGAATACAATCTCTTTATTTCTAATAAAAAAAAAAAACTTATTTTGCTTTTGTCCCAAAAATTTCAAAGGTTCTCCGTTATTATTTTCCCCCAAACTTTATATAAAAACTACATTTGTCTTATCATTAATTATTGATAATGTCATAAAATCTTGATTTGTTTTGAAACTTAGGCCTCAGACGCATGGGAGTGTTAGGTTTGTGTTAAATTATTTGAGGAAATTTATGGCAACGATTGAAATAGGTTTTTATTTAAATTTTTTAGACTAAAATGGAATGTTGGAAAGTTTAGTGGTAAAAAAAAAAGCATGAAAGTACATGCACTAAATTGAGATTTAAATTATATTCGTTTTAGCTAGCTTTCAGTGTTCCATGGACTAATTAATTATTCTGAGTCTCTGACATTATAGAAATCATGGCAATATGCGAGTAATTGACCCTTTTCTTTAGTATTTTTGTTCCTCGATAGAAAACAAATCTTATTGATTAGATGACATTTGAAGGCAGGAAGCAGTTGCAAAAACTCTATGTGATCGGCTGAAATCAATGGAAGAGCATAATTACAAAAGGAAGCGCCACTAAATCACAAATTTTCCAAAAATTTCCACCTTTTTCTTTTTCTCCTAAGAGAACTCTTCTGTTCCTCTCAAGTCAAACTTCTTATCAGTATAGTTAAGTGATAAAGTCTTCTCTTTCTTCCTACAATAAACGGAACCAAACAAAATTAATAAATTTGTTGCCCTTGGCAAGGCACCATCCAATTGAAGATGAGAAAAGGTCTCCAAATTTCTCCAATGGATGGGCATCTTAGGAAGAAGAAACAAATCTACTGTTTAAAGATCTATTTTGCACCAGACTCCGAATGTTTCTATCCTTTTCTATCCTGGGTATTCAACCTTCCAAGGAGAAGAGTGTAGCTTTGATGTTCTTGATAGCTTCAGAAATATCTTGATTGAGGGATCTGGGGAAAAGGAGCCCTATCCAGCTTCTTCCACACCCTACTATCTCTCTCAGCAGAAAGGGGGAACAAGTGTGAAATATTCATGAAAGAAATTCATTCTCCCACTAATTCATCCTTTTTAGGTTCACTCTAAATTTAAGGATCCCCAATGTTTTCTTCATCAGTGAACCAACATTGTGACACAGAGACTTTTACTACCAGAAAGCATAAAGAATAAGGAAGCAGCACTCTGAGGTTCCAACCTAGTCCACCTATAATCCCAAAAATCTGCATCTACTCGTTATTTTATTAGCATGACAGAGATCCTATTCCTAAAGATAATTCTTGGTTGATGATGGTCTTCCAAGAGCTCTTCGAGGTAACTAACATTCTGGGAGCCATCTACCAGAATCAGTACTGAACTTACACTATCAATAATTTTTATGTTGTAAGGCTCTCTTCCAAGGGGAATCTCCACAACGATTTAGTAAGGAGCGGCATGTTTTTGCATTTAAGGTTTTCAAATACTTAGACCAACCTGGGGTAGCCTTGTTGGCAAGAGCTTGGGGTCTCTTGGCCATACTGGCTTAATTTTGAACCTTGTAGTGAGTTTAATACAAAAAACCCTTGATGTCTCCCGGGTCCGACTCCCAGTTAAATAAATAAATAAATAAATAAAATAAAAACTTAGACCAACATTTTCTACCAAGAAAGACACAAATTTCCATTTCATTATATGAGGCTCACCAACCAAACTTGATCCTTCACATTGGAATTCCTTTACTGTCTTCTAGATCTCCTAAGTTCACACTACAAGGCGCTTGGAATATTTGAGATATCCAACCCGATCAACGTAATCCTACCTCCGGTAGGTAGTAAGGCATACTTCCAGTTATCTAGCTTACAAGTTACAAGAGATTCTTTTCAAGTCCAGATTCAGATACAACTTATACCCTGGCTTTCCAACTGGGAGAAACCTAAGTATGGAAGAGGCGAATCCCTTGCTATGCACCTGAGATCCTCAACCCACTCCAGTCTCTTCTTTGAAGCAACTAATATTAGCAATTTTGAGGATGGTCCGGTGGAAATACTCTCCGGTTGGTGGTTAAAGGATGAAGCTAAAGTTGTGGTCAAATGTGGTAAAAGGGATTTTGTGGTACTTGGAAAGAAAGGAACGCTAGATTCTTTTTAGATAAGTTCAACTCTATTGAATACTTTTGTGATCTTGTACAGTTTACAACCTCAAATTGGAGTGCTCAACACAATATTTTTTGTGATTACTTGACCTATACTATTGGATTAGATTGGATAACTTTTATGTAATCCTTCTTCAGAGCAGGGACTGCTTGTCCCGAGGTCCGCTAGGCTGTATTTTGCCTTTTTTTGGGCCCTTTTAATGAAAGTCTCCCTTGTTTCTTATGAAAAAAAAAAAAAAAAACTAATATTAGCTGCAGTAGACTTAGTTGATGCCTGAAGCTTTTTTAAAATACAAATATGATCTTGAACGGGTTAGAGATCAAAGAGGTGTTAAACATAGGGATAGAGGAGTTCATTGGCGAGTTGTAGATGATTAGCATGAAATCCATTCCTATTCCTATCAACCTCAAAACCTTCTACAAAATCAGATCGAGAAGCTTGATTGTGCGTCAACTAAAGCAGTTTGCCACAAGCACAAATAAGGAGAGAGGATCACCTTGATGAATAACCCTAGAAGCCATATTTTTCCCCTGGCCTACGATTGAGTAAGAAAGAGAAATTAGTCGACGCAGCCCTGATCCATGATTTCTATCTAGAGCGGAAGCTCTTAACCTATAGAACCTGCTATAAGAAAATTCCAATCAACCCTCTCATTGCTTTCTTAAGATCTAAATCAGCCCTTTCAATTTTCTTGTCCTCCAACCTTGAAGAATCTCATTACCCACAAACATAGAATCAATTATTTGTCTCTGACCAACAAAGGCAGCTTAGTAAGGAGAGATTGTATCAGACAAACAAGGCTTCAGCATTTTACTTAGAACCTTAGCCTCAATCTTCTACAAGCCATTAATGTCTTTTAGGTTTGTTCCCTCGTATGTGTTGCCACTATTTTCTTTTTCTGAAGCTGAAGATGGGTTCTTATCATGGTTCCCAACCTAAGCTTGTGAAATGATCCATATGTAGATAGACCAGACTAGTGGCTTTTATTTAAGGGACAATATCTTTTATTATCGTTCATTAGCTTTCGGAGGGGGATGTCTTGACTAAACATTTCTTCCTTCAGTATTTAATGTCCTAACCTCCGAATATCTTTAAAAATGTATTACATTCCTCAGAAATCATGAAGGGTCCTGCGGAGATCCTATCTGTACTGTTCCCTTCGCATGGAATCTTTCCTGTAGAGGAGAAAAAGGTTGGAAATAGTGCAGTTTGCGAGCCAAAAATGAGGGGGATTTGAAAGAAGATGCAAACAAGAGTTACCTCTTGGATTATTAGACGAACTTGAAAACAAAATTTTCTCAGACGATTATTATAACCTTTGCAATTTAAGCCAGCGTAAAGCATTATGTTCAACCGTGAGCTAGATCATTATACTTTTACATCTCTCCCCTTCATTCATCTCCCTTTCTCCCTTCCCTAACCTTGAACCTACCTACGACGGCAAATTGCCAAATTGAAACGAGGTTTTCAATTTTCTTGGACAAAAAATTTTGGTTTGGTTTCGGTTTCGGTTCCGCTCTTAAATCGAGTTGAACCAAACCATGAAGATCCCTAAACTTTATCATTCAGTTTCTTATATGTTGTTGCTGCAGCAAGTTTCTAAATGAATCGTGGATCGGGTTCGTGGATACAAAAACTTGCCGACCTGAGTTTAATTCAATTGGTTAAGACACTTATATCGAATCAAAAGATTGTGGGTTCGAATCTCCACCTCCACATTTTATTGTATTCTAAAAAAAATACAAAAGCTTCGGGTAGGATATACACTTGGATCAAAGATACGACATGTGGGTTCTTGTTTGCTAGTAGTTAATCCGCAAGTGATTGTAATTCCCAATTTTACTTGTCTATTGATCATCAACAGCAATATGGTTTTGAGATACGAGCCCACCACCAACCTTTTGACAAAGGAAAATACCTTGGGCTGATCGATGAGCACCTATTTTATACTCATTACTATTAAACTTTTGACAAAAAGAGAGATGCAATAGTAGAGAAAATTTTTCCTTTCTTAAACAATGAGCTGTCAAAATTTTCAATAGTGGTGAGTATAGAGATATATATTCATCGATTAGCAGCTAAGTATTTTTCTTATTATCACCTCATTATTATTATTATTTACATTTATTAGTCAACTTGAATATAGTTCAATTGGTTAAGACATTGGTCGGATCATGGGTTCAAATCTCCATTGTCACATGTACTTCAAGGGGGAAAAAAAATAAAAAAACTAACTGCACCAGACAAAAGCTTACTAACTAAATGCCATGGTTCATGTATCATAAAAAAGTGGCATGGGACTTGATGTTATTGTCATATCCAACATTTTCTTCCCTTGCTAATAAACACAGTTAAATATCAAATAAATACCCCCTTTGCATCTTTTTCTTTAGTACAATAATTTACAAATATGATTGATCTAATTCTTAACTTTGAAGGAAGGAGTACATGCCAATTATTGACGAGTTATGCTTCGTTGATCCCCAGTTACATGGTGTGATTCTGTTAATGTAAAATTTGGAATTTCTACGTAACATTAAATCATCCAACTCCCACACCAAAGCAAGTCCAGATTCTTCTAATCTTCGGAAAAGAAAAATGGTCTAGATTCTTCCAGTGGAGGTAAAATTATGTCAATTCTTTACTCCAATCTGATCTGAATGGTGTGGAGAAGTGAAAACGAAATCTGGGCCGTTTATAGTTGAAGAAGAAAGTCAAGATATATCCACGTGTAGCCTCTGAATTTGTATTATCATGTGTCCTCCAGCACTGGACTCCGACCCAGGAGTCTGAGTTCGAGGAATCCGACAAAAACATTTTATTTTTTTATATAGAAAGGAAAGTAACCCATAACCTGCTCTGTATCTCGACCAGATATTTTCCCTTCTGCCACCACGTTTAATCATACTCACTCTTCATCCTTATCCATTTGGTCTAATTTTTTTCTTTTTTTTTTTGATTCCACCCGATTGTTTTTATATTGCCAGCCAGATTTGGAGTTCACGTTATTGCATTTAATTACCTATTTGAGTCACTTGACTCATCATCAAGCTATATCTTATCCTATTTCATGGGCGTGAAAGTTTGGACCAAAGGCCTAGAGGTTTATTTCGCCAATTTATATTTGCTCATTAGAAAATATATATATATTCCACCTAAATTTAGCTTAATAGTAATAAGCTCTATCTATCTCTAGTTAAGAATTATGAGTTCGAGTTAAGAATCATGAGTTCGAATTCAATTCCTACGTCTGTAAATAAAACATTGCAAAAGGTCAATGGTAAATTTAAAAATGAAGGTAAAAAAGTCATTTTTATTTTCCAGAGAGAGAAAAAGTAAAATAAAAATGACCCTACAGAGTAGACATGAGTCTGAGTTCTATTTATAGAACCATATATGGAGGGGCAGTTGTGTAAAGTGAGAAAAATGGTTCTGCTTGAGAAGCTTTGGGATGATGTTGTGGCTGGGCCTCAGCCTGACCGTGGCCTGGGCAAACTCAGGAAGATCACCACAAAGCCCTTGATCGTTAAAGGTAAATCCTTGATTCTTTTCTTTTACTACAAATTAAATTCTGGCTGATTATTGTGTTACGTACTGTGATGGTTTTGGTTTTGGTTTAGATTTGGATGGAGGAGAGGGAAGCAAGTACCAGAGATCGATGTCCATGCCGGCTAGTCCGGCGACACCCACTACGCCGGTGACACCTACGACGCCGTTAGCGGCGGCGCGTAAGGACAACGTTTGGAGGAGCGTGTTCAACCCTGGTAGAAACTTTGCAACCAAGAGTATTGGTGCCGAAGTCTTCGACAAACCTCACCCCAACTCTCCAACTGTTTACGATTGGTAATTACCGTATGCCACTTTCCATCCCTTTTTATTCGAGCGAGTATAACCCACGCGCCGCCGCAACTAACATCAAAATAAAATAAAATAAGAGAGAGAGAGAGAGAGAGAGAGAGAGAGAGAGAGAATATATAGCA